AGTGAGTTTGCCCAAAATGGGCACTCAGTAATTTCTTGCTGCACCCAAGCACATACTTGATGAAAGAGGGAGAAAATGTTAGTAAAATATTCTCCTAGTATTCTCTCAGCTGTTGAAACATTGCTTTTTTTTTTTTACTTAATTAGCAATACATGATCCACCTCATATGATCAATCTGAGAATGTCACAATTCATAAGAGAGCAAAGGACAATTATGAAAGTTATGGTGTGGAGAAGACATATTAATCTTAACATAATCAATAATCTTAACAAGATAAAAAGAGAGTGCCATTAACCTTCTGTAAAAAACTTACAGGGATTGAAACTAGGTCACTCACAAGTTAGGCAGTAACTATAGGAGAGAGGACTATGGCCCACTTAGAAAATAATCCAGAAAGAACAGAAAATTTTGAGGGAATTGTGATCATCACACATCATGTAGTACAACCATAGAGAGGTTGGCCAGTATGGAATGCCATTTCACCCTGTTATGAACAAGTCTCTTCATTCTTTCCCCACTTATCTTTCACCATAATCCCAAGTTGAACTATTAGAAAGACCTCAACAAGGTTTACTACCAGCTCCGGTGAATCCAAATATTGACAAACCCTTCAGGATCTTCCCAGTTGGACTGGACTGAGTCTACAAGGACAACGAGGCCCTGAAATTAAGGCTATGTTAATTAAATCCATGCTTCTGCCTCATCCCATGTCAGAGATCAGAGGCACAACATCACCCAAATATAGAGAACAGGTGGTAAATGTCACAATTTGAAGAGGAAGATATGGATAAGAGGTGAAGGGCAGCAAATAGGATCCTGAAGTGAGCCAGATCACTGTTTAGATGATTTTCAGGGAAAGAATGTGTCTGCAGGTCGAGTGAGATGGCAACAATCGAGGAAAAATAGAATGTCCTGAAGGTGATATTCCTCAAAAATGATGTGCAGGCAAGGAGTTGCGATCGACAGTAAGACACAACAAGGTTGAGTAAACATGATAGCGACTCATCACTGCACAAGCAACTTGTGGGCTGGCTTTCATTCAAAACCTGTTTGTTAAATCTACTAATATCCTAGTTCGACAACAAAGTTAAATTTTGCTTGTCTTGGAATCTATTCAGCTGCAGCTTAAAATTCCAGACCTCAAAAAATCTCAAATAAAAAGATAAGACCAAACACTGGAAGCCATGACTGCCGAACGCGACCAACTCTTGGAGAAGCTTACATCCCTTGAGGCCTCTACTGCCCGCCCTCCAATCATCACTGCTTCCACCCAAACCCCCAAACTGATACTCCCAAGGGCCACCCTCTCTACACAAACCATCCCCAAAACAGCGGCACCTAAACCAACCACCAAGCCTTCTACCAATCCCAAACCCTCGTCCTCCACCAACAATAAGACTCAGGACCACCTGCGAGCTTCCGCATCCCATGTTGTCATTGAAGCAACCGACCCAAATACCAACCCAAGGGAAATCCTCAAGACCATCCGCGCCACCCACAAAATCCCCGAGAACAGTCTGGGCTTCACTTATGACCAGGGGAAAATTAGTCCTGCACTCTGCCAACCCAGAAATTATACCCGACCTCAGCTCCGCCCTGTCCAAAAAACTTGCAGACAACCTAAAGATCCGTGAAACTCGGGAACTCCTCCCCGGGGTCTGCATCTTCAGAGTAGACAGTGAAACATCTGACCCTTCAATCATAGAATCCGTCAAGGCAATCCCCGGCATCTCAGCCATCCAAGGTGACAAGATCATCAGAGTGGCTCACCGTTCAGAACTAAGATCTGGAACAAGCACCGTGTTTTTGGAACTTGACCGGGCCTCCTTCAAGGCTCTAGGCCACAAAGGAAGACTCATCTTAGAAGGCGTCATCCACCACTTCGAAGAGTCCATCAGAATCAGAAGATGCGTCCGATGCTGCGGATTCGAACACAACTCAAACAGATGCACCTCTGCTGAACCCATTTGCTACCATTGTAGCAAAACTGGACACGAAGGCAACTCATGCCCCACCAAATCCTCCCCTGGCACAGCAAGATGCACCTAATACCACCCCAAAGGAATCCCTGCCAACCACGAAGCCCGCTCCTCTGCCTGTCCCACTGCTAGACTTCATGCATTGAAGTTCTAGAACTACAAATCTCGGCCACCATACTCCAAAGAACAAATCCCTGGGCGAAAAATCTGGCCTAACAAACGACTACACAGAGCTACACCGGCTCCACTTCACCTACGCCTTGGCGTCCACCGACACGGCTTGTGTTTTAGATATAGTGTGCCCGGAAAAGTCTCCACTGAGACTTGTGCGGGCGAAGGCAAGATTAATTCCACCAAATACATAAAACAAAAATGTTGATATATACCAATGTGTGAAAGATATTCCGCATCTCTCTGGATGAAATGGAACAAGGAGGTTGAAAGTCCCTGGGGTGGTACTGGAAGTCCCTATATTGTCCAAAGGAGAAACACGAACTAGATACCAAAAGGGGATTCTCCAGATTTGAGTCAGTGCACCATATCAACAATATCATAGTGAATGTGACCCAAAGACATTCCTGACATCACCAGGCTGCTACACACTCAGGGCTCTGTTTGCACACCAGTTACACTGTGTGGTGCATCACGTGACAAGTTTGTTCATCTACAGGTAATAACAGCCAGGTTGCTGCATCACTTTGTGCAACATGTAACCAGGCTTGTCCCCCTCCACGTAATAAATGCCAGTGCCTCAAACTTTCAAAGATCTGCAAAAGCCCCAGACACCACTATGGGTGCATAGCTGTGGAAACAGACACAAAAGATTAGAACAAGGCAGGAATAAAAATACCCAGGAAAGAGACCTCACAGCCAGGGCACTTGGCTACCCCAACCCATGTCCTAACTTCTCCTGCAAATCCAACTGAGACAGTTTTGGCCGCTCCAAACTGTAAGGAAACCACATCACATACTCTGACACCATGTCACCCCCTGCAAGCAACCTCTCCATTCCTTTTCAACAAGAAGCTCAAATGGTGACTAACAGCTTAACTAAAAAATTGGCAAAGTGTGTCACCATAGAGTGCTGCTGAGGATGTCCACCAGGTAATATCCTCCAAAGAACCTAATTCTTACAGCATCCATCCCTACCCTGCCGCCCCTCAATTCAACAAGAGGAAGCAGCAGACGCAGCGGCCCAAAGCTGGTGGTCGTGGAAGATGGCCCTTCTAGCGAGCAGACGCCACAGGTTGTGGCAGCAGCTCCAATAAAGATTCCTATACAAGATGCAAGTCCCAACTCGGGTAGCACCAATGTTTGAATTCATGGCATATTGTATGTATATGTGATAATCTGTATACAGGATTATATGTAACCTCACCACAATCTATGTATAATGTATCGTCTAAAGGTTTAATAAAAGTTAGGCCTCGCGAGATGGGAAAGACACAAAGTACAGAATTGCATCATCCAAAGTTCAAAGGCCTTTGTTGCAGATCCACTGCCTTTTTTTGTGTGTGTTTTAATTCTCATTTTATTTGGAGATATTGAGATGGGGGCCTTCAAAATGTAAGAAAGCCGCGGAAGAAGATGCCCCCCTCCCCCCGCGCGGCGCGGGCCAGCCACCACCCATGCAGGGGTGATGTCACGCCCATGATGCAACTTCCGGCCCCCCCTCGCCCCCCTCTCTTTGTTCTCAAGTTTTCGTCGCGTGCTCGCGTCTTGAGACCCAAAACTCTATATCTCTTTTGAAATAATTCTTTACCTATAATTTTTGTATTAATTATAATAAATTTTTCTTTCTTCCCAACAATCAATGAGTTGCAATAGTTTTACTTTATTCTATGCTGGTTACGCCGTCCAGTGATTCAAATTCTTTGTTCAAAGCTCGACAGCCTTCTTCTTCCTGAAAGATTGCAATCATGGCGACAATGGAGGTACTGAGCAAATCACCTTTTAGCATGACGAATTAACAGCCAATCACCTTTAACCCTTAAGTACTCGCGCGGGGTGTATCACACCCCAAGCTATCACTTTACCTCAAGAAAATCATTAAATCCTTAACCAAAATCTTCCAATTTTTCAATAGCTTAATATTTCAATGTGCCAAATAGACATGTCAAATTTCAACAAAATTAATAGAGGGAATATATTTGTAATTTATTCTTTTTGCTAGAATGGGGTGTGTCACACCCGCGCGAGTACTTACGTAACATAGTTTTGTAATCAGCCCGAATATGATACTGCTGAATTCTCACGCACCATGAGTCATTTCCCCTACCTTTCAGTGTCAATTTAGTTTCACTTTGCCCATCATCTAAGCTTACTTTGATCCAATATTATAATGGATAGCAAAAATATTCAATCACTTTTTAGCTTGTTTGATGAGGAAGAAGAAGATTTTGATGAGCTAGATGATGATAACTTTAGTGATGATGAAGAATATATCCCCCATAGCTCAGATTCAGAACAAGAAGAAGACGATGAACAAGAACCACATCAGGATTCTACGTACTTCTTTGGAAGAGATAAAATGACCAAATGGAAAAAGGAAGAATGGAGAACATCAAGGGTACGTACAAGAGCTATAAATATTATTACACACTTACCTTGTTCTAAACAATTTGGTAAGAACACTCCAACTCCATTAGAAGCTTTTTTGAAATTTATTAGTATTGACATAATCAAAAAAATAGTTGAATACACAAATATTTTTATTGAGACCATCAGGCCAAATTATAGCAGGGAGAGAGATTGCCGCAATACAGATGAAAATGAAATCCGTTGTCTGCTCGGACTCATAATAATAATCGGAAAAAATCGTGCATCGCATTTGCATTTCAAAGAAATTTGGAATGCAAATGGCACTGGTATAGAAATATGCAGAGCAGCAATGGCCTACGAACGATTTTTGTTCCTTTTGCGAGTAATTCGATTTGACAATGTCCTTACTAGACAGATCAGAAGAGATAATGACAAATTTGCTGCCCTGAGGGAAATTTTTGAAATGTTTGTTGCCAACTGTAAGCAAATGTATTCCCCTGGCGAATATTTAACAATCGATGAAAAGCTTATTCCTTTTAGAGGGAAATGTAATTTTCGTCAATACATACCAAACAAACCTGCAAAATATGGCTTGAAAATATACATGATGTCTGATGCACACACGTTCTATACTGTGAATATGGAGCCGTATGTTGGTAACAATCGTGGACCTTTTTATAAATCCAATGCTTCTGATGATGTTGTCAAAAGATTGGTGGAACCAGTATCAGGAACAAAACGAAATATTACCACTGATAACTGGTATACAAGTTTCCCACTAGCTCAAAGTTTGTTGACTGAACATAACTTGACCCTCGTTGGAACTTTGAAAAAAAAAATAAAAAGGAAATTCCTGTAGAGTTTTTACCCAACAGGAATAGACCTATCTTTTCTTCAATTTTTGGCTTCAATGAAAATAAAACTCTTGTATCATATGTCCCCAAGAAATCAAAATCAGTTATCCTATTGTCAACAATGCACTCAACAATGACAATTGACGAGGACACAGGAGATAAAATGAAGCCGGAAATAGTCACTTTTTATAACCAAACCAAGATAGGCGTTGATGTTGTTGACCAAATGTCGGGGACCTACAGTGTAGGACGACGCACAAGAAGATGGCCTCTGTGTATTTTCTTTGATCTCGTCAATGTTGCAGAAATAAATGCACAAGTACTTTACAACGCAAATCACCTGCAAGAAGAACCCATTAAAAGACGCCACTTTTTGGAAAAGATCGGACTGAGTTTGATAGATGAACATATCAAAGAACGCCTTTGCATTGTGTCACTACCTAAAGATATAAAACTTGCTCTTCGAAGGATAATTGGAGTGGCAAATGAACAAACAGTAAGTAAAAATGTTATTTACCAATATAAATAAACATGATAAATTTTATGATGGTTTTTTTTAGGTACCAGGACCATCAGAACCACTTTCAAAAAAGCAAAAGCGATGCCATCTTTGTGACCGATCTAAAGATAGGAAAACAAAGACTACCTGCAAAAATTGCAAAAGAAATATCTGCAATAATCATTCCTTCATTATGTGTGCAGAATGCTTTGAAAATTAATGAAAAAAATATAAGATTTATTTTTGTGAATAATGAATATGCATAAAAATTGTAAATGCTTATATGATTTAGAAAACATGTACAAGCACTGGAATAATTAAATATTTTATTATTTTATTTACATTTTAATTAATATCCATTCTTTTCTCTATAATATAAATATAAATACGTTGTATTTGGCTTACATTATATATATTAGATTTAGGTTTATATTTTGGGGTGTGATACACCCCGCGCGAGTACTTATGTAACAAAAAATGCCGCGAGTACTTAAGGGTTAAGCATGACAAATTAATAGCGAATCATCAGAGAGCACGTGGAAGGATCTCAACAAATGAGAAGTTGAGAGAATCGATGACAATTATCTCGGACAAGAAGCAGAAAGAAGGTAGGTGACCGTGATATGAGCTAGGTGTGCTCTACATAGGCTCCAACCTAGGTAGTGTACGCTCCATCATGTGAAAGGCCAGCTACCTCTGTCAAACAATCTCCCAATCGCAAGGTCCTTTTCAACCCCATCCAGGTGTGTTCGTTCTTCCCCTGTGGAACCCTTTTCACCTGCCCAAAATCTAAAAAAAAAAGACAAAATGCATAAAGCAAAAATGATGATATATACCAATGTGTGAAAGATATTCCGCATCTCTCTGGATGAAATGGAACAAGGAGGTTGAAATTCCCTAGGGTGGTACTGGAAGTCCCTATATTGTCCAAAGGAAACACGAACTAGTTACCAAAAGGGGATTCCCGAGATTTGAGTCAGTGCACAATGTCAACAATATCATAGTGAATGTGACCCAAAGACATTCCTGACATCACCAGGCTGCTACACACTCAGGGCTCTGTTTGCACACCAGTTACACTGTGTGGTGCATCACGTGACAAGTTTGTTCATCTACAGGTAATAACAGCCAGGTTGCTGCATCACCTTGTGCAACATGTAACCAGGCTTGTCCCCTCCACGTAATAAATGCCAGTGCCTCAAACTTTCAAAGATCTGCAAAAGCCCCAGACACCACTATGGGTGCATAGCTGTGGAAACAGACACAAAAGATTAGAACAAACAATAGGGGCAGAAATATAAATACCAAGGAAAGACGCTCCACAGCCAGGGCACTTGGCTACCCCAACCCATGTCCTAACTTCTCCTGCAAATCCAACTGAGACAGTTTTGGCCGCTCCAAACTGTAAGGAAACCACATCGCATACTCTGACACCATGTCACCCCCTGCAAGCAACCTCTCCATTCCTTTTCAACAAGAAGCTCAAATGGTGACTAACAGCTTAACTAAAAAATTGGCAAAGTGTGTCACCATAGAGTGCTGCTGAGGATGTCCACCAGGTAATATCCTCCAAAGAACCTAATTCTTACAGCATCCATCCCTACCCTGCCGCCCCTCAATTCAACAAGAGGAAGCAGCAGACGCAGCGGCCCAAAGCTGGTGGTCGTGGAAGATGGCCCTTCTAGCGAGCAGACGCCACAGGTTGTGGCAGCAGCTCCAATAAAGATTCCTATACAAGATGCAAATCCCAACTCGGGTAGCACCAATGTTTGAATTCATGGCATATTGTATGTATATGTGATAATCTGTATACAGGATTATATGTAACCTCACCACAATCTATGTATAATGTATCGTCTAAAGGTTTAATAAAAGTTAGGCCTCGCGAGATGGGAAAGACACAAAGTACAGAATTGCATCATCCAAAGTTCAAAGGCCTTTGTTGCAGATCCACTGCCTTTTTTTGTGTGTGTTTTAATTCTCATTGTAGTATGTAGTCATACTAGCCACGCCTGTGGAAGAACCGCAAGGTTCGAAAGCTTGCAAAAGTATAATTAAAGAGGCTCCTCCGAAAAAACTTTAGATTCGTTTTACATTATACTAATTACACGGAGTTTACCTGTAGAATCTCATTTTATTTGGAGATATTGAGATGGGGGCCTTCAAAATGTAAGAAAGCCGTGGAAGAAGAAACCCCCCTCCCCCCACGAGCCAGCCATCACCCATGCGGCAGTGATGTCACGCCCATGATGCAACTTCCGGCCCCCCGCGCCCCTATCTTTGTTCTCAAGTTGTTGTCGTCGCGTGCTCGCGTCTTGAGACTCAAAACTCTATATATCTTTTGAAATAATTCTTTACCTATAATTTTTGTATTAATTATAATAAATTTCTCTTCTTCCCAACAATCATTGAGTTGCAATGGTTTTACTTTATTCTAGGCTGGTTACGCCGTCCAGTGATTCAAATTCTTTGTTCAAAGCTCGACAGCCTTCTTCCTGGAGGATTGCAATCATGGTGACAATGGAGGTACTTAGCAAATCACCTTTAAACATGACAAATTAATAGCGAATCACCAGAGAGCACGTGGAAGGATCTCAACAAATGAGAAGTCGAGAGAATCGATGACCATTATCTTGGACAAGAAACAGAAAGAAGGTAGGTGACCGTGCTACGAGCTAGGTGGGCTCTACATAGGCTCCAACCTAGGTAGTGTACGCTCCATCATGTGAAAGGCCAACTACCTCTGTCAAACAATCTCCCAATCGCAAGGTCCTTTACAACCCCATTCAGGTGTGTTCGTTTTTCCCCTGTGGAACCCTTTTCACCTGCCCAAAATCTAAAAAAAAAAAAAAAAAGACCAAATGCATAAAACAAAAATGTTGATATATACCAATGTGTGAAAGATATTCCGCATCTCTCTGGATGAAATGGAACAAGGAGGTTGAAAGTCCCTAGGGTGGTACTGGAAGTCCCTATATTGTCCAAAGGAAACACGAACTAGATACCAAAAGGGGATTCCCGAGATTTGAGTCAGTGCACAATGTCAACAATATCATAGTGAATGTGACCCAAAGACATTCCTGACATCACCAGGCTGCTACACACTCAGGGCTCTGTTTGCACACCAGTTACACTGTGTGGTGCATCACGTGACAAGTTTGTTCATCTACAGGTAATAACAGCCAGGTTGCTGCATCACCTTGTGCAACACGTAACCAGGCTTGTCCCCCTCCACGTAATAAATGCCAGTGCCTCAAACTTTCAAAGATCTGCAAAAGCCCCAGACACCACTATGGGTGCATAGCTGTGGAAACAGACACAAAAGATTAGAACAAGGTAGGAATAAAAATACTCAGGAAAGAGACCTCACAGCCGGGGCACTAAGCTACCCCAACCCATGTCCCAACTTCTCCTGCAAGGCCGACTGAGACAGTTTTGGCCACTCCAAACTGTAAGGAAACCTCATCATAGTTCTTGACAGATACGTTGTTTCAAAATACCTAAAAGAGCCAGACAATTATCAAAAGCATCTACCTCATATAGAAATAAAGCCGATGACCCATCCTCCCCAGATTATACCCCCCTGCAAGCAACCTCTCCATTCCTTTTCAACAGGAAGCTAAATGGTGACTAACAGCTTAACTAAAAAAGTGGCAAAGATTCCACCACAGAGTGCTGCTGAGGATGTCCACCAGGTAATATCCTCCAAAGAACCTAATTCTTACAGCATCCATTCTCTACCCTGCCGCCCCTCAATTCAACAAGAGGAAGCAGCAGACACAGAGGCCCAAAGCTGGTGGTCGTGGAAGATGGCCCTTCTAGCGAGCAGATGCCACAGGTTGTGGCAGCAGGTCCAATAAAGATTCCTATACAAGATGCAAGTCCCAACTCGGGTAACACCACATGTTTGAATTCATGGCATATTGTATGTATATGTGATAATCTGTATACAGGATTATGTAAACCCCACCACAATCTATGTATAATGTATCGTCTAAAGGTTTAATAAAAGTTAGGCCTCGCGAGATGGGAAAGACACAAAGTACAGAATTGCATCATCCAAAGTTCAAAGGCCTTTGTTGCAGATCCACTGCCTTTTTTTATGTGTGTTTTAATTCTCATTTTATTTGGAGATATTGAGATGGGGGCCTTCAAAATGTAAGAAAGCCGTGGAAGAAGACCCCCCCCCTCCCCCCACGAGCAAGCCACCACCCATGCGGCAGTGATGTCACGCCCATGATGCAACTTCCGGCCCCCCGCGCCCCTCTCTTTGTTCTCAAGTTGTTGTCGTCGCGTGCTCGCGTCTTGAGACCCAAAACTCTATATATCTTTTGAAATAATTCTTTACCTATAATTTTTGTATTAATTATAATAAATTTCTCTTTCTTCCCAACAATCATTGAGTTGCAATAGTTTTACTTTATTCTATGCTGGTTACGCCGTCCAGTGATTCAAATTCTTTGTTCAAAGCTCGACAGCCTTCTTCCTGGAGGATTGCAATCATGCTGAGGTACTTAGCAAATCACCTTTAAGCATGACAAATTAATAGCGAATCACCAGAGAGTAGGTGGAAGGATCTCAACAAATGAGAAGTCGAGAGAATCGATGACCATTATCTTGGACAAGAAACAGAAAGAAGGTAGGTGACCGTGCTACGAGCTAGGTGGGCTCTACATAGGCTCCAACCTAGGTAGTGTACGCTCCATCATGTGAAAGGCCAGCTACCTCTGTCAAACAATCTCCCAATCGCAAGGTCCTTTCAACCCCATCCAGGTGTGTTCGTTCTTCCCCTGTGGAACCCTTTTCACCTGCCCAAAATCTAAAAAAAAAAAAAAGACCAAATGCATAAAACAAAAATGTTGATATATACTAATGTGTGAAAGATATTCCGCATCTCTCTGGATGAAATGGAACAAGGAGGTTGAAAGTCCCTGGGGTGGTACTGGAAGTCCCTATATTGTCCAAAGGAGAAACACAAACTAGATACCAAAAGGGGATTCTCCAGATTTGAGTCAGTGCACCATATCAACAATATCATAGTGAATGTGACCCAAAGACATTCCTGACATCACCAGGCTGCTACACACTCAGGGCTCTGTTTGCACACCAGTTACACTGTGTGGTGCATCACGTGACAAGTTTGTTCATCTACAGGTAATAACAGCCAGGTTGCTGCATCACCTTGTGCAACATGTAACCAGGCTTGTCCCCCTCCACGTAATAAATGCCAGTGCCTCAAACTTTCAAAGATCTGCAAAAGCCCCAGACACCACTATGGGTGCATAGCTGTGGAAACAGACACAAAAGATTAGAACAAGGTAGGAATAAAAATACTCAGGAAAGAGACCTCACAGCCGGGGCACTAGGCTACCCCAACCCATGTTCCAACTTCTCCTGCAAGGCCGACTGAGACAGTTTTGGCCGCTCCAAACTGTAAGGAAACCACATCGCATACTCTGACACCATGTCACCCCCTGCAAGCAACCTCTCCATTCCTTTTCAACAGGATGTTCAAATGGTGACTAACAGCTTAACTAAAAAATTGGCAAAGTGTGTCACCATAGAGTGCTGCTGAGGATGTCCACCAGGTAATATCATCCAAAGAACCTAATTCTTACAGCATCCATCTCTACCCTGCCGCCTCTCAATTCAACAAGAGGAAGCAGCAGACGCAGCGGCCCAAAGCTGGTGGTCGTGGAAGATGGCCCTTCTAGCGAGCAGACGCCACAGGTTGTGGCAGCAGCTCCAATAAAGATTCCTATACAAGATGCAAGTCCCAACTCGGGTAGCACCAATGTTTGAATTCATGGCATATTGTATGTATATGTGATAATCTGTATACAGGATTATGTAACCTCACCACAATCTATGTATAATGTATCGTCTAAAGGTTTAATAAAAGTTAGGCCTCGCGAGATGGGAAAGACACAAAGTACAGGATTGCATCATCCAGGAAGTAAAGGTCACTGACCTGAACCCATAAAACCTAAGTTCAAAGGCCTTCTTCTTCCTTGAGGATTGCAATCAACAACAACAACAAACAACTTTATTAGGGCAGCATGCCCTGTACGGACTCGCCTTGGAGTTACAGACAATATTAAGAGGATTGCAATCATGGCGACAATGGAGGAGTTGAGCCAATCACCTTTAAGCATGACCAATTGATACTGAATCACCAGAGAGCACGTGGAAGGATCTCAACCAATGAGAAGTCGAGAGAGTCAATGATGATTATCTCGGACAAGAAACAGAAAGAAGGTAAGGTGACCGTGCTACGAGCTAGTTGTGCTCTACATAGGCTCCAACCAAGGTAGTGTACGCTCCATCATGTGAAAGGCCAGCTACCTCCGTCAAACAATCTCCCAATCGCAAGGTCCTTTTCTACCCCATCCAGGTGTGTTTGTTCTTCTCCTGTGGAACCCTTTTCACCTGACCAAGACTGCGCCACACCATTCACCAATCCAATACCATATCCACCCAACCACACAATTCAACAGAGAGTCGACAGCATTCCCACAGTGAGTCTACATCCCAATTCGACATATATATGTAAATATTACAACTATTTTTATATTTTTATTTTTTTTTGTGTGTGTAACCCCTCAGCGGAGGGAAATCTATTTTTTACTGTTTTTCTCCTTTTCACACACCGGCCCCTACCCCCTGTCGAGAGAATGTAATTGTCCGCCGGATGGACAGTCCAAGAACCCACCGACCAATCGGAGGGTCAGAGGGGTCACGAGGTCCGGGCGCGGGGGCAGCAGAGTTGGTGACACGGCTGTGCCAAGTAGACAAGAAAAAACCTCACGGGAGCTTGCCCAAGATGACCTTCGGGAACTATGTCCATCTTCCATAAAGGACCATACAAGCGGTCTGAGAAGGGACTGGGTGGCTGACATCTCAAAGAAAGGTGAAGCCGAGACAAATCTTTGAGAGATTCGCAAAGTGGTTGGAGTACGTCGAGGGCGACGAATTGTGCTTCATCTGAAGATACCAGGAAGTTCATCGAGGACGACGAATTGTGCTTCCAAGGCTGGTGTTTTCTGCAGGGGGGCTCGGGCAGGCCGACTTAACAACTGAGAGGAACTGTTTTGGTGAGCACTCTTTCACACGCTTTTTCTTTTTATTTCCTAAATTGATATATATTTTTGTGTTATTCTAGCATTTTTAAAAATATTTTTTCTTTCTTATTTTTACTAAGTTTTCTATTTCGCCAATATCATCATTTTTTAAACATTAAGTTGCATGCAAAATTTGGAATATACAAAATAAGTTTTCATATCTTTTTTTATCCTTTATTTTATAGCTATCAAAAAATTAAACAAAAGCTTTATAATGTGTAGCATTTGTTGTCTTCCTTTTTTCTTGCCTAAACACCCAAAGCAGCCCAAAACAATATCAAAACTTTATTTTTATTTGTTAAAAAGGGGCTTTGTGGAGCGTTCCGAATTTTTATTTTTCTCCACAAAATTTTTTCTTACCCCTTTCTTAACATTTTATTTTGGCGTCCCCGGGTGGGCTGCATTGGCTGGGTCAAATCGAAAAAGGGGAAAAAAAGAAAGGCTCCTGGGAATATTATACAGTAAATAATGCACAGAGTATTAATACATTAAAAAGGGCTAGAGCCCCCAAAAGAGCTATTTTTAACTCGGCTGTCCACAGTGTTTTGGACTGAAATAGAAAAGCCAGATTTCGATGCAATGGGGCAATTTAGTAAAATTAGTGACGATGAAACTCTTGGGGATGTAGATAAATTTCACTATCTGCTACAAGCGGTAGTCGAGGGATCCAGAGCTCAACGTCTTGTGTGCAGTTACCCTATCACTGAAGATATTTATCCCAAGGTAATACAAGCATTAAAAGATAGATTCGGAGATAAGAATCTTCTCATAGAACACTACATAAGAAGACTGTTGAAAACTGGTTGTTTCTAATGCAAGGAAAGAAAACATTCCTCTTGACGAGATCTACGATGATCTAACAGCTCACTTAAAGAACCTAGAATCACTGGGTGTTAACACAGAGATGGCAGGCGTGTTTCTCTACCCACTTGGTTGAGTCTGCCATTGGACATTATTCAGGTGTGGCAGAGGAATCCTGCTGTGGGCTACGGGATAAAAGAAGGAGTGGAGAATGGAGATAAGAGTGATGCCGGCGGTAGACTACAGGCTCTGATGGACTTACCGGTGCTGAGCGACTGGCATTTGCTAAGGAGAATTTGAGGGTAATAGCTCAATGAGGGCCAAAGGTTCTCAGCTAAAGATTTTTCGGAAGACACCGCCCACTGTCTCCAATTTATTCAGCAGCGCATTTAAGAGAAAATGCATATTCTGCCAGAGAGATAATCACCTAAGTAGTAAATGTTTTGTTGCTTCGCGTCTTACACCTAGCGAGAGGGATCAAAAGATAAAGGAAGCTAGAGTCTGCTTTAAATGTATAAAGGGTAATCATCTGAGAAAGGAATGCCCTTCGTTTTGTTTCAATCGACATCAATGTATTTTTCTCGATATAACACACTCCCTCGCTGTTCGCCTTCCGCCACTGATTTTTCGTATCCCAAGTAGCAAAAACCACTCGTTATAGCGCCACTCACAATGTCCCTCACACCCCCGCTCCCATTTTCCTGTCTGCATTTTTTCTACCAGCGGCGCCGGACTTTGCCTGCTGTTGACACAACAGATTGTGTGAACAGCCAGCAGACCCTTTTCCTGCTTGTGTCTGGGACATACACAGTCGCTTCATCCTTTGCTAATGTCAACACAACAACCTTATTGTCGTATCATGAGTTCCCAAAAGCGTAAACGTGAGTCGATCACGATTGAAAAGAAGAAGGAGATATGCCAGTTGGCAAGAAATAACGCTACGAAGTCGAAGAATGAGATTGGAAAGCGTTTCTCACTTCCACGAACAACTGTCCGTGATATTCTCACTCAGGCTGAGAAGTGGGAAAATTATACTGTTGGTTCTTCAAAGAGACAAAGAGTCGAAAAATTTAGTGACTTGGAAGACGCTCTCTTCAACTGGTTTACCCAAAAGCGTGCCAATAATATTATTATTACTGATGACCTCCTAAGAGAAAAGGCAAAAAAACTTGGCGAGCAGTTGGGCGTACCAGAAAATTTCACGTACAGCAGTGGGTGGCTGCAGCGATTTAAAGGGAGATTCCATATTTCGCAACGACGGCTCTGTGGGGAAGGCGCATCGATTTCTCCAGCTATCATTGATGAACATCTTACAAATTTGAACAGTATTCTGGCGAACTCTGGATATGACCCTGCCAACATATACAATGCAGATGAAACAGGATTATTTTTCAGCTCATTCCTGACCGAACACTTGCTCACAAAGATGAAAACTGCCGTGGTGTCAAAAGTATGAAGCAACGAATCCCTTTTCTACTGTGCTGCAACTCTACCGGAACAGACAAGCGGCGATTGCTGATTATTGGAAAATCGGCAAAGCCTCGATGCTTCAGAAACTTTAGTCTACACTTCTACTGCACTTACACATCTAACAGCAAAGCATGGATGACCTCTAGCATCTTTCAAGAATGGCTACTGCAGTTCAACAAGCAGCTTGTCTCTGAAGGATGTCGTATCCTACATAACGCTACATCTCACTGCGTCCCTAATGATAGTCTCAGCAACATAAAGATACACTTCCTTCCACCAAATATGACTGCCAATCTGCAACCACTGGATAGTGGCATCATCAAAAGTTTCAAGGCTCAATATCGCAAGCTTCAACTCCAGCTTTAACAAAAATGAATAACCCTACATATTTACATAAAAATACTAGTTTTAGTGTTCCATCTTTGAATAGCCTCAAAACAAAAGATGAAATTTGTCCATATCATGCTGCCTCTAGTGGCCAGGTAGAGAGAGCCATACAAACTTTAAAAAGAAAAAAAGTGACAAAGGTGAATGGTCAACCAGGTTGGCTAGATCTCTCTTGACAATGAGAATAACTAAACAACACAACTCAAAAATCTCCAGCTCAACTTCTGATGAATTAAGAATTTGAAATGCCTTCTGAATAAATTTCACCCAGAAAATGTCTCTGAGGAGAGAAGTAACCAAGAAGAAAGATTCATGAGAACATAGAGACCCCATAGAGCAGTGGAGGAAGGACAGGAAATTGTAGCTAGGAATTACCATGGTCCTAAATGGTTACCTGGAGTGGTCTATGAAAAAAACAGGCCCTGTCTCAGTTGAAGTAGAAACTGATGATGGAAGAGTTATTAATAGACATTTGGATCAGGTGAGGAACTGTGGTGAAAATGAATCCATTCCTTCTACATCGTTGGCTCCACATGTGCCACCTGAGACTGAAGTTGAAGGAACTCAAGCTGCTCCAGTAATAGAATCTCCTACAGTGACTCCGCAGCCTGTCTTGAGGAGGTCCTCAAGAATAAGGAAGCCTACAAAGCTTTTTGACATTTAATGGGTGTTTGACTTAATGGGGAGGAGTTGTTGCGTATTGTTAATCATTGATTTTATATATTCTGTTTTTATCATCATCCATGCCCCAATTAAAAGATGTTTCGAGAATAAATTGTTTTTGTTATTTTGTGTAAACAAAATTTTTAGAGTAGGTTAGGTTAAGTTAGATATAATTTTTATAAATATGTAAATTGTAATATAGGATTAATTGCTAAATTCTATATTTACTTTAAATTTAATGTATTCTTTTGCTCAAGAGTTCACAAAATAAACTTCTTGAGATTAAATTTATTTTTTTTTTAATTATATTCTTAACGACTGCACTTTTAACTTTAAAAAAATCATTTTAAATTTACATAGTTTGTAACAGTTAGCCGACAGAATTTACCTAGTAATAATTGATTTTCAAAAATGCCTCCGAAAATAGAAAAGCCAACTGAGCAACAATCTTCTACAAATAATTTTGATTTACCAAAATATTATGGACAAAGTTTTGATATAACTTCATGGATAAAGTTCTTTAACAAAAAAATGCCAACAAAACCATTTTGATGAAGACTATAAGCTAAAGAATATTTCAAATTATCTTGATGGGGAAGCTTTTAATTTTTATATAGAACAATTACGAGATATAGATAATTGGGGGGAACTAGAACAAAATCCGTCGCCATCAGAATGGTTGAGCATTCCAGAAACATCTCTAATAAAAACCTAAATTCCCTATTTACAGTCATTCTATGCAAACCGGTCATACATTCAATCTAACAAAGCCATCCATTCTATACAACAATATCAATATAAGTACCAAAGACTTTTACTAGAGGCATTTGTGTCAATAAAAACAAACAGCATCAACAGGCATATAGATATACCAGAACAATACCATATGTTATGTGAATAGCCATAGGTTGCATTTACCTGCCCTTGATTAACACCATTCATAGTGCATATGTACTTAGTCCAGATTTATTAGCATTTATCCCTATAATATTTTTAGCATATTTGGTTCTTATTTTTATCTTTAAATACTTTTATCTTTTGCAGTTATGTAAATTTTCTTTTCAGCTTTGTGTATATATGGATCCTCAGCGCGTTTATTACTCTTACCTGATGAAGGACGATATGTCCGAAAGCTTGTGTGCATGCTAATAAAAAGAAGCTCCTCTTCCCACTTTGTAAACTCGTTATTAACCTTCAGTGAAAGAGCAGTTCTACTTAGAACAAAAATTACTTTCATATTTTACAGTTAAAGATTCTAATCTATTTAGTAAATACTTAAATTTAAATATAATGATAAAGATGATCTTGATGTTTATTTTAAAGAAAAATCTTCATTAGCAAAAAAAATTAATTTAGATACACCCCTATTATTAGAAGCTCTTGCAGATGGATGCCAAATTACCTAAAGAAATATTTAATTGCAGCAAGAGTTAAGGAAACCTCACATTGGATTAAAATAACCACTCAATTAAAATACTCTACCAATCAAGAAAAACAGGAACCACAATGCAAATAAAACTCAGATAATCAGCAACCATCCACAAGTAATGATAATAGGCAGAATTTTCAAACTAGATCATATTACCCAGCAAGGTCAAGGTTTAACCCCAACTCTCCTCCAAGTCTACAATCCCAGCCACCTCCAAGGTCATCTCCAAGATCAACCACAGCTCATCACCAGGAAGCATCCAGTAGAACTGATGGCGGGTTGAACAGTTGATAGTTTTTTAGCGCTGATTCAGGTTACTTCCCGGATTCATGTTTTACCATAGCCGTTCTGCAATTTGTATCGTTTTTTAATTTTTTAACATTTCACGATTAGCATGCATACGTAGTTGTTATATATCCATAATTTAGATATGCAAAATTTTAACCTGAATTGTATTTTCGCCGTACTATATACATCACATATGCAAATATACCTCTAATAGATTCCTATATAAAGTCTTTGGTTACCTTAGTTTGCTACCTGTTGAAGAGCGTGACTGCCCGAGAGCTTGTCACACGTTTATCTGAATAAAAATCTTTTCTCCTTAATTTTCATTTCTATTTTTAAATATTCAATGGAGAAAGTTTTTCACATAGTTCAAATGTCATTAATTAAGACATAACAGAAATAATAAAAAAATTAACTTGAGTGACAGCCGGACAGGAGGAAGGTCTCCGATTATGTGGTGACATCCAACATGCCTTGTTCTTTTGTGTAATTCATTCATGCCTGAAACCATCTGAACATTGTGGACACAACAACTGCATCTATCCAACATGCCAACTTTTTCTCCATTATAATTATCTTATGCTTTCATCTATAATCACCATAAGCTAATTTTCATCACCCGGGGCATAAGCTGTTGTAATATATTTCAATTTATATTTATATCCCCATATATAAGATAACTATAGTGTAATACCAAAACGAAACAATAAAATTATATTGAGTGACAGCCAGCGCCAGACAGGAGGAAGGTCTCCGATTACACCGTTGGTCCGTTAAAAACATAGTCGGATTCCAGGGGTGCCCTCTCCCTTTGCTCAAATATAGATAAGACCCCCCTCGACCGGTTGTCCGGCTGCCTTCACTCTCTATCTCGCCAACTCAGTGGTGACATCCAACATGTCTCGTACTTTTGTGTAATTCATTCAGGCCTGAAACCATCTGAACATTGTGGCCACAAGACTGCATCTAACCAACATGCCACACTACAGTCATCCTACATCACAACATATATATATATATATAACATAACTTTAGAACAAGCACTAGGGGCAGGAATAAAAATACCCAGGAAAGAGACCTCACAGCCGGGGCACTAGGCTACCCCAAGCCATGTTCCAACTTCTCCTGCAAGGCCGACTGAGACAGTTTTGGCCGCTCCAACTGTAATGACACAATCACATACTCTGACACCATGTCACACCCCCCATCCCCTCTGCAAGCAACCTCTTGCCATTCCTTTTAACAGGATGTTCAAATGGTGACTAACAGCTTAACTAAAAATTGGCAAAGATTTCACCACAGAGTGCTGCTGAGGATGTCCACCAGGTAATAAAAACCAAAGAACCTAATTCTTACAGCATCCATCCCTACCTGCCGCCCTCAATTCAACAAGAGGAAGCAGCGGCCCAAAGCTGGTGGTCGTGGAAGATGGCCCTTCTAATGAACAGACGCCACAGGTTGTGGCAGCAGCTTCAATAAAGATTCCTATACAAGATGCAAGTCCCAACTCGGGTAACACCACATCCATAGGAAGAGTTCCCACTGTCACGACCAAAAAGATCTCACTCCCTTCAAAGGAAGAGTGGGTATTGAAAAATGGGCCAATGTGGAAAACTCTAATTAAGGCATTCACTCGAGGAGTGAGGGCACCACAAAGACCATCAGTACCATTCAACATGAACTTGTTATAGCCCTAAATTGTTTAAAAAATATATAAACACCTTTTCGATACCATCTAATATAATCTTTATCTACTTTCTCTTTCTTTACTTCTTATACCTTCTTTAAAAATATATATCTTATATATTTTTAAGATAAATTGAAGTATTGGTATTCTAAAATAGAATGGTACGGAGTGGAGTGGTGCAGTCGCGGCCTTCTGTGGGAAAAAAGATCAAACACTTTTACTAAGTGACGGGTTTATTTTTGTACCAACCAGTCGTCACAGTTTTTAAGCAAAACAATTATTAATAGTATCTTGAGGCCTCTTGAATAGGTAGAGCACCTCAGAAGAAAGTAAAAGAGAAAAGAACAAAACTTTAAAAAAATGATAGTAATATTTACATACTGCCCAACTCACACAAAAAAAAAACTAACTATATATCCTATTTAGATTTACTTCCGCGCCGTCTGGTGTTCTCGGCGTCACAGAGTTCATCTATGAAAATAAATAATTAAAAGATTAATAAAAATATACAAATTGCGTAGAATATAATATTACCCAAAAAATTATTTACAACATATATATATTCAAAATAATATATGTTGTAATATATTTCAATTTATATCCTATATCCCCATATGTAACATGACTATAGTGTAATACCAAAACAAAATAATAATGTTAGATTGAGTGACAGCCGGCGCCAGACAGGAGGAATTACACAGTCGGTCCGTTTAAAACAGTCGGATTCCCAGGGGTGCCCCCCTTAGCTCAAATATAGATAAGACCCCCCTCGACCGGTGTCCGGCTGCCTTCACTCTCTATCTCGCCATCTCTGTGGTGACATCCAACATGTCTCGTACTTTGTGTAATTCATTCACGCCTGAAACCACTCTGTGGCCACAACAACTGCATCTAACCAACATGCCACACTACAGTAATCCTACATCACAACATATATATATAACATATGTACCATCTATCTACCACCTTCAAAGCACTACATCTCAACCACTTTTCCTTTTTATAAATAATATAAATGTGTCTCTACCTTGTAAAAACTCCTTCCATACCTCCAATGTATTGTAAATAATCCAATCTGTAACAAATGAATAACCAAGAGTCTAAATAAAATTCAGTGCTCTGACAAAGACTTGGATGGACTCCAGCTGTGGAGGGATGGCCCATGTGTGTGGGGGAACAGGCACCAGGATGGTATCCCAGTGTGGGGAAAACGGACAGTTTTGGTCACATCGGCAGTGACATAACACCTTGCAAGTGGTGTGTGGATTAACCAATAAGACGGTGCTAAAACAGACAAGGAAGATCTCACTACTTGTGGCTGAAAATGAAGGCAAGTCCATCTACTGTACATAATTATTAATCCCCTTTAGTCCCTTGTATTCAAGTACATCAAACTAAGCTGTATCCATATTATTTTCATAGAAACCTTGTTCACAAGCAACAACCACTGGAAAGCATCATAACAAAACAAACATCATTTTCACACCACTTTTAAAAAAATTATATATTCATTAAATCAACGTCACATTTTGCAAAATACTGTTTTCTTTTTATCCTTTGAAAATATGTGCAAAATATCACAAAAAAATTCTAATTTGCACATATTTTTTCTGAGTTTTTCCCTTTGAAAAAGCCACTTTCTTGAAATTTGGATGATTGTGCATAACCTGCTGGGGGAGAGGCCCACTTATCACCATGTGAGCAGCAACTTAAACCTCACTTTAGTTTAAAAGGTTTGTTCCTTTTACACCTACTACGTTTAGAAATATATATTTATAATCTATAACTCACCAAATGTCTTTTCCCCCCAAACAACACTTCTTCAAACATTAGCAAAGTATTGCAATAAGACTGTGGAATATTGTCAAGAAGCTCCATCCAGATGAGACACCTGTCAATCATCCCTGGACCCCGGGGGGGGGGGGGGGGGGGGAAGCACAGGTGTGAGGGGTTCTCGGAAGCTGATCTGCAAACAAGGAAAACGGGACCCCTTGGTGGCTGGCGCAGCTCATTATTATTATCTTTACCTGGGGATAAGTTGTTTTTATCATCTCTCTCTCTCCCTTAAATACCTCTTGTAAATAATTTTTATTGAAGAACTAAAAGGTAAATACCCTTTATAATAAA